GGTTAGATTTGAGTCGTCCAGAGGTCTTTTCACCCGAGAAGTTCATTTTAGAGTATCGGTTTGTCTTCTTTGAGGTAAGTATCTTGCCTAACCTTGTGTGGGGGATTTCCCCCTTAGGATTTGAGTCTTCTATGTTGATTGTAGTTCATGTACGCGAGGTGACGAGTGCGTGCTCGGACTTATTTGTGGAAATTTAGCCTTTTAGGGTTCTTAGGACCTTACATTCCCTAAGTAGGAAGTTATTCTTGATAAGATTGAGTTTCCTATTTGCTAGTTTCACCTCTACATGCTTAATTGGAATTAATTGCCTTATGATCCACTCTTATTGCTTATTTGACTTAATTGAAGATTTGTACCTCTCCTATTGACATGCTATCTTTTCATAACTGCCTATCTCTATCTGAAATTATTATTATCTCATCCTATAATTGTTTAGTCTTAATTGAGGTTGCGATTATCTTTTCGCCACTTATCCTTAATTGAATTGTTGAATAACCTTCATAATTGCTCAACCTTGAAAGAAGTTAGATATCCTATATTTCAGCTGACATAGCATTATTTGAAATTATTCGACTCGTGTTAGCTTCCTTGTTGTTGAGTCGTATATTGTGGAGTTGTTCCTATATTTTAGTTTTCCCTTGTTAAGATGTTCTCTTTACCCTTAGCATTCCTTGCTGTGGTTATCCCTTGTGAATGAGTTCTATCGTTTCTTTGTGATATAAAGTTATTGAGTTGATTTACTAGCCGCACTTTGTATTATTGTCACTGATGCTATTATACTTGTTGTGGTGATGCACGAGGTTCCTGCCGTGCTGTAACTGTTATCTCGTTTGGTTGAGTTGCATATTTACTTTGGGACTACGGAGCGGTATTCCGGTAGATTCCCATGTACTGCATATTTACTTTGGGACTACGGAACGGTATTTCGGGAGATCTCCCTGCACTACATATTTACTTTGGGACTACGGAACGGTATTCAGGGAGATCCCCCTGCACTATATATTTACTTTAGGACTACAGAACGGTATTCCGGGAGATCTCAAACTATTTCGGAAGTAAATTGATCCGGCAGATCTTTATATATTGATATTTTTGCATGGGAGATGTTTGTGCGGTTGTGATAGAAATATGACCACAAGGTGCCATGGAAATATGAAAGTGGGCTGAGACCCGTATTGTATGATTATGAGATGAGGTGTCACAGGGTGACTTATATTCGAACGATATTTATTTGAAAGGATTATATTCGAAAGGTATTTATTTTGAAAGAACTATGTTTGAAAGATATTTATTTGAAGGAAATATATTCGAAATATCTTTATTGGGAAGGATTATATTCTAAAGATTTCTATTTGAAAACTTATGGGTGAAAGATTTATATTTGATGGATTTGATAAATTGATTGGTGTTTGCTGGCTAGAACCTGATGTGAAAACTGTCGTAGTTGCTGAGTTATTACTTGTCTTTGATGTATTTGTGATTTCTGATGGGTTGTGTTCCCGTTTACTCTTCTGTGTCCTTATTATGGTGTTCCCCTGTTACTTGTTGTTTTCTTCCATATTGCAATTACTGTATGGTTAGTCGTATCGTATAGTTTTTATGTAGATATCATATTATGTTGTTCCTATACTTATACTTGTTTAGTTTATTAGACCAGTGGGTATCTTGACTGTTCCTCGTCACTACTCCATCGAGGTTAGTCTTGATACTTACTGGGCACCGCCGTGGTGTGCGAATGATATACTTCTGCACATTTTTTTGTACAGATTCGGGTATTCTGCTCGTTAGTAGCTGTGCGGGTCGTTGCTGTGGAGACTCACGGTAAACTTGTTGCTGCGTTCGCAGGCTTCAGAGTCACCTTCCTATTTTTGTATTCACACTGTTTTACTTATTTCCAAACAGTTGTATTTAGAAGTTGTAGTAAACTATATAGAACTTATGACTTGTACTACTGGTTTTGAAAAATTATAAATTTTGTAAGGATTTTTATGTCGAGACTATTAGATTTTCTTTATTATTGTTGTTATTCATTGATTGTTAGGCTTACCTAGTCCCTAAGACTATGCGCCATCACGATACCCAACAGAGGAGAAATTGAGTCGTGACAGTCATATCTCAAAGAATATCTAGAGATAAGTTCCTACAATGTTATATTTGTAGTTTTAAAAATGAGACATGTTACCTGCTATAAATAAATGTGACACGATGGTTTATATTTTTTTATATTAATTTAAGATTACCTTTTAAGTAATCTGATAATGTAACTCTCTTTTATGCGATTAGTACACAGAACTTATACTTCCTATTGATAAATGATAATGTTAGCGAGGGTACATTTTTTTAGGTATACAACTACAACTAGTCGATCATATCATTCCATATAATAATCTAGAAAGAATTACGGCCCTTGTCACTTGGCCTAACAGCCCAACCGAAGATGGCCCAGATTTGAAGCTCTTACCCTATTTAGCCCATGTTGTACATAATTTTAAAGAAAATTTTCAGCCTTTAGCCCATTATTAAAGACACACTTTTAGGGGTTTTATTATTTTCTTCTTTCTTCATTCCAGCACACCAAATTCTCTCTCACCGCCTCTCGTTTTTTTCTTTCTAACCCACATAGATCCCTCATCCTCTCTTAACCTAGCCCCCGCTATTCCCCCTCCCCTACCCCCTACGCAGTTCTGCCATCAATGGGTTGAAGAAAGCTCGGGCTCCTACTCCGTCGTCCATGGTGGCAAGCAGAAGAACATTGAGGATTTTTGAAAGAAGAATGAAAATACACCCAGATCTGAAAATAAATAGCTCTCAAACTTGATTTGCACCAAAAAAAACAACCACTAATTTTGGAAGATTTTGAAGTTCGGGTCATTATTATTATGACCTTGGAGTCTCGAATCTGAAATTGGGTGTATCTTATCTGTGTGTTAAATTCTGAATCGTTGGCGCAAAATTGTTAAGATATTGACGAGTTGAATCATCCAATATCTTCTACTACAACTCGAGGCTTGGATAAAAAATCATAACAATGTAGCAGTTTGTTTCAACACTGTATAAATAGTGTATAATTGTGTATATGGATATACAAACACCTCTTATACACTATTATACATGTTTATACAAGTTAATACATTATTTACAGTAAGTGTAGTGTTGGATATTCTATGTTTTCTAGTGAAAATATTGTATAAGTGGTGTTTATATACACTTATACATTATTGTATAATTGTGTATAAATGTGTATATTTATATATAATGTTGTATAATTATATATTTTTTCAGTTTATAAGGATGTATATACGTTGTCAGTGTGTAAGAGCCTCTACGGAAGTTTGACACTTCCTTCTCTTCTTCTTTTTCGTGTATGTGCTGTAAGAAAAAGATTTTATACGCGTTAGAGGGATTCTACAATTCATTTATCAAGTTTTTATTTTTCTTTTATCCTGTTGGATTGCTTCAGCAATTGCACATAAAAGTGTTTGAATTTCTTACCTTCAGATAATATGTATTATTCAGGATTTTTGAGTTGCATTGTGGCTAATTTGCATTTTTTTATGAAATGCTTAATAATCAAAGTAAATCAAGAGAATGAAAATAACTGGTTGTATAAAGGGGAGCAATAACCGTAGTTGATTTTGTTAAATTAGTTGTCTTTCGGAAATTAGCCTATTATTTTTGGGCTATAGATTTGTAAAGTGGTATCTAGGCTATTATGTTGCAAGTCAGGTGTGTGAGTTGTATTTATGTGAAATTATCCCAATAATCTATATGTATCGGAGCAAAGTATAATCCACTAATAAGAATTATTTTATGAGGGAATTTTATCCATAAATACAATAAGTTTTTGGGTTCTAACGTATGTTTCTCCTCTCTGCCTAATTAGCAAAGACACCACTAATAGATGCCTTAGTTATAACTTATAACCATCGCCTACCACCATGATCGGAGGTGAATTTAAGATTTGAATTTTATGCATTGCAACTTTCTGAACCCATTATTCATTTAATTTCTTTAGTTCAAAACATACTATTTGTGCATATTTAGTGTTTTTAACACAACCAAGTATATTTCAACCTCTATAAGCGCTAACAGGATCTACTTTCTACTTTTCTTTAGCTTGGTATTTTCTGAAATTAAATAAGTTCTCGATTTTTTGTTTTTCTTTTTTTTCAAGTTCTCATGATCTCTACTTGTGATTTGTGAGCGAAGGACACATGCAACGAGACATTTATGTAAATTTCCTCATTTGTTGATAGCATAAGCTCTAGTGTCATCATGTGTCTCGGCTTATCTCCTTATGAGCTAATTTTTTGAGTTGAATTACGTTCGATGTCTATTCTCTTAATATGGTATCCGAAATAGGCATATTCCCTATTCTTGGTTTATATAATGTTGGACCCTCAATATTATGTTGTCCACACTCCACACTACCTTAGCAGTGGGAGACCGGTATCAACAACGAGGAAGAAACAGCCAAATGGAAACGAAAACTAACTATTGCTCTTGGCCCAGACAACGTCCTAGGCGTAGGGGAGATCGGAGCAACAGGGAACGCCTAGACGACATGGTGTATTAAAGTCTTATTGGTCGAGAGTATAAACTATAGTTTTTGTGATTTTTGACAATTCTCAATCGAACTAACTTTGACTTGAGTAAGGCTTATAGTCAGGGCGGGAGCTAGCCCATCGAATATGGGTTCGGCCGAACCAAGCCATTTTGGTCCAATTTATGTGTTTGTTTAACAAAATTCATTGATATGTCCAAATTATTAATTTAGAACCCAGTAACTTAAAAGAACTAGAACTCCGAACCCATAAGCATCAAATTCTGGCTCCACCTCTGCTTATAGTCCATTCTCTTAATAGTTCAAGAATGTTATTTTATTTGAGAAAATCTCCTTTTGCAAACCATCATTTTTTTTCCTTTCAAACTGGTTGCATATTGATGAATATGATTTGTGATAGCACAATAAATGAGAAAATCTCTGCTCAAGAAATCGGTATATAAAAACACAACAATTATTTTTATACTGAAAAAAGTACATCCACACATAATTGAATTTACAACACAACAATAAAAAAAAAACCAGTGTAATCCCCATGTGAGGTCTGGGAAGGATAATGTGTACGCATATCTTACCCCTACCTTATGGAGGTAGAGAGATTGTTTCCGATAACATAATTGAATTTCAAAAGAAGAAAAGACACAAAAAGATTAACAAATTAAAGCCGGTGAAATTAAAGAAAACGAATGATCTTAGTCCCATATCATGACTATAGCAATAGTCCCAACTCCTGAAAACACAGCAAAAAACTTGAAGAATTGAGTGTCAAAATAACATTTGTTTTGTGGCCTAAAACCTTTTAAAATAAGGTGATTTATTGCCACATATATGAAAACTCCACAAGCAATTGCCATGGAAATGGCATAAGTCCAATCTGCTGTTTTTCCTTCACTTGTAGCATCAATTGCAATTCCTATTCCAACACCTATAGGGCTTGAAATAGCAAAGGCAAAAGAGTAAGCACAAGTAAGTAGAAATGGCCTCTTTGGTATCATTCTTAGAAGTGCAATTCCCATTGCAATTGCTGCAAATATCTTGTGCAATGATATTGTCCATAAATTTCTCCATGCTTCTCCCTTTGTAGCTGAAACACAATTGAAGGAATGCAAATTGAATTTACGAATTTATTCATTGACGGTTTAAAGTATTTACACTATCAGATCACTTATTAGGTTTAAGTAATTACAGGTGAATTTTTATAATAGATAATAATTGGTAACCTGATAAAAGTAATAACTAACCTGTTATAAAAAATTATTAAAGTACATTGATCGTGCAAAAATCTTTACACGATCAGGGCATACCACTTATATACATATATTAGGGGTTTATGCTGCAGAGAAGTACATTACCAAAGAAGATCACAGAAAGTAAGTATGATTGCAAAAGCAAATATGAAATGAAACTAAAGAAGGTAGAACTCCTATATTATTTATCTTTTCCTCCATGTGAGTTCTTGGATATTCAAAGTTAATAACCATTCACAACAATAATAGTTATCATTTAAGATTTGTAAACATGCTCCATATCTTTTATATTTGGCTTTAAGAGAAAGCACATTATTATTTATAAATAGAGCAACTTCATAAAATTATTCTATGCGTATTGTCATTAGTCTTTGAAAGACTTTACCACATAAATGAGATTTTTGAGAGAGCATCCATCAAAAGGGAAGAGAGAAGAAAAAGGGTACTTTTTGCTGTAGATTTTTACTCCGATCAGCCATCTTCAAATTATGTTTTTCGATTCGCTTATGTTGGATCGGGCTAAAATTTTGAATGAGCATTTCTAACATCTTGATCGTTGATTTGAATGGTGAATATCGAATTTGGAGGCTTGTAACATCCATGAACATTTTAGATAATTGCTCCATATTTAGCGCTTGTATGTAGACAGTTTAAAGAATTTGTATAATCTTCTTATTGTTATAGTGGAGCTTTTTGAGTCTATTTGATCCTGTTATTTTTGTCTTCGATTCGGAAAAAAAATCATGTTAAAATTTGATTTTTATCTTTTTTTGTTTTCGGATTTGCTTCTTTTTATTATAACAATGGTGTAACGATTCGGCCGGTCGTTTTGAGAGTTAGAGTCCCGATTTCCTATTAACTGCTTCCCCCGTATCTTTTTATGCTATTGTGACTTGCCAGGAGGTTTTGTTTTGGTTTTTGAAGTATTTTGGGACACTTAGTCCCTAAATGGAAGTTAAAGTCTTAGAATTTGGATCGTAGTCGGAACGGTGTGAAGACGGCTTCGGAACAGAATTCCGTCGATTCCGTTAGCTACGTTGGATGATTTTGGGCTTAGGAGCGTGTCCGGATTGTGTTTTGGAGGTCTGTAGCTCATCTAGGCTTGAAATGGCAAAAGTCGAATTTTTGGAATTTTGGACCGGTAGTGGAATTTTTGATATCGGGTCGGATTCCGATTCTTGAAGTTGGAGTAGGTCCGTAGTGTTGAATATGACTTGTATGCAAAATTTGGGGTCAATCAGACGTGGTTTGGTTGATTTCGGCATCGGTTGTCGAATTTGGAAGTTTCAAGTTCATTAAGTTTAAATCGGATGATGATTTGTGTTTTTAGCATTGTTTGATGTGGGTTTGAAGGCTCAACTAAGTTCATATCGTATTTTATGATTGGTCGGTATGTTTGGTTGAGGTCCCGGGGGCCTCGGGTGAGTTTCGGATGCTTAACGGACTAGTTTTGGACTTGGAAAAATTGTAGAATTTCTGGTGTTTTCAGTTCTGGTTTTCTCTTATGCGATCACGTAGGGGAAGACGCGATCGCGAAGCTTTGAATTGGGCAGTCCCCTTTTTTGTTCTATACGATTGCAAGAGCTCCTCCGCGATCGCGATGTTTGCATAACTATTTATACGCGAACGCATAGCCCTTCCGTGTTCGCAGTGCTGAAAAGAGGAGGCTGGGCAGTGAGAGGATTTACTCTACACGGTCGCGTGGAGTGTTAAGCGATCGCGTAGGTCAGCTGGCTAGTGGTACGCGTTAGCTAGCATGTATCCACATTCACGTAGTATGTTTTTAAAAGGCTAGAACTTTTTTCTACGCGATCGCATGAGATGTTTAGCGATCGTGTAGTGTGAGCACCTGGGCAGAATATAACATTTCAAAAATGAGGGTTTGGCCATTTTTATCAAAACTTGAGTTTGGGAGTTCGGATTTGGATGAGATTTTGAGGGATTTTCAGAGACATCGATCGTGTAACGATTCTACACTTGATTTGATTATATCCCACTAATTTATCATTAATTTTAGCATTTAATTTCGGAGTTGGGGTGGAAAAATTGGGAAAAATTGAGAAAAAATTCTTAGGCCGACGTTTGGGGTTTTGATCGAGATTCTGCTATCGGATTTGAGTGAATTTGGTATGGTTAGACTCGTGAGTGAATGGGTGTTCATAATTTGTGACTTTTACCCGATTCCGAGACGTGGCCCCGGGGAGGCTTTTTGGGCAATTTTCCAATTTATTGCCTTAGCTTTGATTTCATTAGTTAGATTAGTTTCTTGTAGATATATTTATGTTATGTAATTGGTTTTGGCTAGATTTGAGCCATTCGAATTCGGATATTCGTGGAAAAAGCATTGCGGCGGATTGATTGAGCTTGGTTCGAGGTAAGTGGTTTGCCTAACCTTATGTGGGGTAACTCCCTGTAGGATTTGGTACTATTTGATATATGAGCGCCGCCTAAGTTAGGTGACGAGACATGGGCTATTTGTTGTAAAATTCCATTTTTCACTAAGTCATAACCTTTTTTCTCCTTGTTTGAACTACACTAGCATATGTACTATCCTGCTTAGATTAGAAAAGCATGCCTACGTGTTTTAACTGCCTATTTGAACTCTGTGCAGCATGTTTAGTGAAATTACCTGCTTTCTTTGATTTGAACTTAGTCTAAACTGTAAGTTTTCTTGTTGTGATTGTTGTTTATATTGGTTGAGCTTCATATTTACTTTGGGACTACGGAACGGTATTCCGGGAGATCCCCTGTACTGCATATTTACTTTGGGACTACGGAACGATATTCCGGGAGATCCCCCAGTACTGCATATTTACTTTGGGACTACGGAATGATATTCCGGGAGATCCCCCTGCACATTAACGTTCGGGACTATGGACGGTATCCCGGGAGATCCCCCTGCACATTAACGTTCGGGACTACGGACGGTATCCCGGGAGATCCCCTGTTGTTATCACCGTGTTCTGAGTTGTTTTTTTTCATTGATTCTATTCCTGTTAGATTTCCGTATTTACTTTTACTGTGATACTTCATTCTGTCTAATTTTATTATATTTATACCATTAGGGCCCTGACCTGATCTCGTCACTACTCGATCGAGGTTAGGCTTGGCACTTACTGGGTACCGTTGTAGTGTACTCATACCCTTTCCTGCACATATTTTTCGTGTGCAAATCCAGGTTCATCATACCAGCCTCCTCACTAGTTGCAGTCGCTGCTGCTCGTTGGAGACTTCAAGGTACATCTGCCCGCACCCGCAGATCCTCGGAGCCCGCTCTATCCCCCTCCCCCCTATGTTCATTTCTCTTTCTTTCTGTAGAGATGATGTATAGAATAGTTAAAACTTCTTAGTAGCTTGTGACTTGCAAGTTTCCGGGTTTCGGGTAATGTTTGGTACATTTCTGAAGTGATAATTATATATGCCGAGTGGCATTCAGTTGCTTATTAGATAATTGTCTGTTAGTAGTTAATGTTCATGCTTTTGTTTCATTTCCGCAATGTGTTAGGCTTACCTAGTCGTAGAGACTAGGCTCCGTTACGACAGTTCACGAAGGCAGAAATTAGTTCCTGACAAATGGTATTAAAGCCAAGTTATTTATCCGAGATTTTACATGAATGAGGCGAATATGAACAAGATAGAATGTTTAAATGCGAGCACGTATAATATTTGAAAAAGCAAGACGAAAGATTTGCTAATTGTGAAGAATATGTATTTGCCCGTCTTCGCAGCTCATAAATTCGAGTATGTGGCTGATGAAGATTAGAAATTCATAGATCAGCAAATTTGTGTTATATAAGAAAATGGGTCGAAGATAATATCTGTAAAATCATATTATAAATAAGACACATGCGAGATCCTTATGAAAAAGTTTGAGACACTTTATGCTTTAAAAACTGGCAACAACAAATTGTTCCTGCTAAAGCAATTGATGACTTTTAAATACAAGGAAGACAATCATATTCTTGATCATATAAATAATGTTCAGAGTCTCCTCCATCAACTGTCAGAAATGGGAGTTAATTTTGATGAGCTATAAGGATTTTGGCTTCTTAATACTCTGCTAGATTCTTGAAAATTTCTTCATGTTCCTTTGGCAAATTTAGCTCCTAGTGGAAAGTTGTCCTTCCAATATGTCAAGAGTGGTGTATTAAATGAGGAAGTAAGGATAAAATTCTAGGGTTCATCCTCACAGGCCGATGTTTTGGTTATAGAAGACCAGGAGAGAGATAAAGTACAAGATTAAAGAGTAGAGGTAAAAGTAAAACATATCAAGGTCCAAGTACCAGAATTATTCTTGCAACTATTGTAGCAAGAAAGGACATACCAGAAGGTTCTGCAATTAGTTGAAGCAAGACACCAGATAATGAAAGAAAGTTAACAATAACGAAAATAATATTGTTGCTATTATTTGAGATGACCTTCTTTTTGCTTACGACGAAAATATTATGAATTTGGTATCCCATGAGACGAATTAGATAGTAAATTCTGTAGTTACCTCACATGTTACGCCAAGAAAATATTTCTTTTCATCTTATACACATATTGACTCCTGAGTATTAAAGATCGGCAATACTAGTGCAGTTTAGGTGTTTGGCAATGGCACAGTTTGTTTGAAGGCTAATAATTAGTTCAATGTTAATTCTTCAAAATATCAAGTATGATATGGACTTCCTTCAAATATTAATCACAAAAGGAAGACCGGATGATGAAGGTTATAATGATGCCTTCTTTAATGGCAAATAGAAACTCATCAAGGGCTCGTTAGTTGCAGCTCAAGGAATCAAATCTTATGTATACGTGACACAAGGCTCTACTTTTAGTGACTCCGTAAATATGG